CATTTCAAAAGTCACTTGTCCTTACGTAAGATCTTGAAAACTGAATTTATAGTTTCGAGTTATACATACATAAGAAACATCCTCCTGAAATTCTAGTCATTTTGCCTATTTCCCGAGTCAGAAAATTTCCTGCCAAGACTCATACGTGTTCCTTCATGACTTAAGCATACGTGGGAAGCGATTTTAAAATTTTCGGAGTCACATATGGACATGAAGCATCCGCCTCAAATTTCTGTTTCCTACCTTAATTGCTGCCGCAGCATGCAAAATGCTAACAATTTCCGCTCGAAATTTCACGTGTGACCCAGCCCACACAGAAACCAAATTTAAATTCTTTGGGCCGCACACGGGCGGGGAGCATAGCCCTAAAATTACAGCCCCCTAGCTTTTCTGGTTTCGCAGAGTGGTGGACTAAGTTGCCAAAATTTTACCCTTACATCTTCCGTAGACCAAGAAATCAATATATGCAAGCACACACATAAATATACATTTCTTTAATTCATTAACGATGCAAGAACTCATGAAACATTAGAAGCCGCATTCCACTGGGTGATAAATCTCTCGCATAAATGCATGGAAATTGAAGCATGAAAACCCAATCCTGAAAAGTGTTGAGGTTCGCAATGACTCGCTTGGTTGGTGATAATCAGTGGGAAAGGAACTGAAATTTCGTTTCCTCACCGAACGATACATCCAGCAAGCGGCATCCGGAGTAGAAAGTGAATAATCCTGCGGAGATCAACTTTTTCTTGATAAATTAGCAAAATTCCTGTTGCGGCCATATATCAAAACAAACAAAAAGAAACCACAAACTGATTAAAGATTAGTAGATCAATTCCCATCACAAAATATTTATTGGGTTTATAAAATACATGGAGCATGAACTAAAGGTTCAAGATGGTGGCGTACCTCGAAGTAGGAAGGAGAGGGCGCGAGAGGAGGTACCTCTTCCCTTGCTGTAAAAGTCTGCTGATCGTCCGTCTGGAATGAGATAAAACTGCGAAAATTTGAAAGGCATAAAATCGCCATCTGAAAATACACAATTTCATCACGGAGCTCTACATCTGGTGACAGAACAAAAACCATCTGTGATATGCACTGGTGTTAAAAAGAAAAAACAGCAACGAAACATCAGATTAAGCACCAAAAAGCAAAAAAAGCGAAATTAAAGAGAAGTGGGCCTTTTTTAGGCCGCGAAGCCCCAATTCCAAAGAGGTGCCAAGTTTTCCAAAGAGATATTTTAGAGTTTCTTTTGTTCAGAAATGAGAACACGCTCTGACAAAGCAAATGAGCGCAAAAATAGCTTTTAAGCATTTTTTTTTCTTTTTTTTTGGTCGAAAATGAATTGCAGGAAGCAACCACAAGTAATTATCCAATTTTTTGAAATCGAATAAAACCAAATAAAAGAGTGGCAAAAACGGCCCATGCACATCGAGCGTTTTTGGGAGCGCAATTCGTGAATCCTGAATTATTACGTAGAAGCAAGACAAATAATGAGATAGCGGATGCTGTTTAAAACTTACTTGCTATATAATTGGTTTTTGATGAACATCACCACTTCTTATCGATATATGTACAGATAAAAGGTTGTGATGGTCATCAAATACTAATGGCATCACGAAACGGTCAAAGTGCTTCTGCAGAAGGGAAAGCTAAGCTGATAATCCGCACCACAAACGAAACGAATAACAGGATGCGACGACACAGCACTGACAGAAAAATGGAAAAGCTGTTAGCTCCATAGGTGAAGAACGATGCTGTGAACCGAAGTATTTATAAATGAAACGTAAACTGAATACTTTACAGCCTTGAGCCTCATACACGCAGCTATAATTAATCCGGGTATTCGTACAAACAAAGAATTAAAAAACATGAAGAACTGACAAATTAAGAAAAGTAAAGGAGTAATCGACAGAAAATTAGAGGCCAAAAGTTTCTGAACAAAATCAAAATGTCGACTTTCCACTGGAATTATTTGACAATCAGTTTTAAAACGAATCAGTAGCTGCAATGTATAATCATGTACGAACGGGTGGATGAATAAACGGCTGGCAGTGAGATTTTTCGCAAATATGCATAACAACCCAGTCTTAGCCCTTAAACGTGCGGCACAGTAGGTGCTTTCGAAAAATAAATGATAGCCACTTGCTCAGCAAAAATTATTAGAAAAATCGGACAGATGGTGATTTTTTAAAGCTTCAGGGCAAACAGGAAATAAATACACGCAAAAGCTGCTGAGGAGAGTTGCCCTCCTGGTCAATGTTTCTTATCTCTCTGCCTGTAGCCATATCGACATTAAGCACTGTTCTTGTGTTATTTTCATGGTGCCGTTCCAAACAAAGAAACTGAATACTCCGCCGGAACATCACTACTGCTCGGAAATCTCTGCACTGCTGTTGGACTAACTGCTTCCAATAATGTTTGTATCCCAGTGGAAGAATCAATTGAAGTTGGTTCACATTCTTCCATAATCCAGGCTCCTTCAAACGGTACAGAAGGTGAAGAAGCCGAATTTTGCATAAGTCGTAAAAAGACAAGTTGGTCTTG